GTGGGAAGGTATGTGAAAACCCCCAGAGACCAGAAACAGTCTGTGCAGAGTGTATCTTAACAATAAGCAGCAACACACTTAAATAATGTGCATCCATCATGCTAAACATAACCTCTCGAAACACATTGCAGTGTAAATGTGTGTGTATATTTCCTTGCGATATCATCATTTCGTGCTTTTACAGTTAAGTCCATAACTTTTTGAGGCTGATTTTAAATAATTTGTCTCTATACACCGACACCATCGGAGTGGATTTAAATCAGGCAATCATGATGTAGCTGAAGCTCAGACTTTCAGCTTTACCTCAAGAGTTTGAAAAAAGAATTGCATTAATTGCTATGTTTCTACACACAGCCCCCTGTCACTGACACACACACAAACAAGCAGGACTGAATATCCATCTCATACAAGACAGATGAACAAAGAGGTGATGCATGACGCGCTCGAGACGTCCCCACAGCCTCTGCTTTACAATTCTCCGTATCTTTATTAGATCTTTCGCAGCTCCGTCTCATTTTTCCCCAACTTATTCATCCTCTCAGAAGCACTATGAAAAATTCATACTTGGGGATGGTGAACTGCCCGCTCTTATTTAAAAGAAACGATTCATTTTCACATCTGTTGGTATACTCAGGCTACCTCTTTAGATCAAAATCTGCACTGCATAAAGAGGAGAAAAAGTTCTCTCAGTGAGGGAATAAATGACTCAAGGAGGCATTTCATTTGTATGCCGGTGCAGGCGTCTCCTACAGCGGGCTGTGGACGCTAATACATTTGAAGCTCTTCGTTATGCTAACGAGCCTCTTGCTACAAGTAGAAAAAACTTCTGGTTTCTAAAGATCACTCAGGCTTGGACACAGAAAATTTGTATTTCTAATAATTAATATTGATCCCGTGCTGTGTTGTTGCGCTTTAAAAAAATTTATGCATGGATTTTGTAAAATTGCAAAGCAGACGAGCAGGAAGGGTCAACAGGTCCTATACATAATACATTACATATGCAAACACATATGCGCCGTGACGGTGGTTTAAATAAACACTTAACTCTAGATCCATGCATGGGTCAGTAGTGACAGTGTGGCTCCACTTGTCACTAGCCCAGCTGCACTCTTTAATTATACACACATTGATTGGTCTGGATGTCGATAAGGCATTTAAGCGGCTTAATCCTCGTCGTTGTATTAACATGAGCAACATGCACATAGTTTATGTATTAATTCTCAGCCTGAGGTGGTGTACTTGTATTTTTTCTTCTTCTTTTTTGCCTCTTGCATTACAATTCAGCTGCCCCAGGTTTTCGTGAAATGTCAATAGAAAGAGGAGAAACTCATCGATTTGACTGCTGGTGGCAGGTGGGGGAGGAGGAGGCGGTGGCGGTGGTGTTGTCATGGCTGCTGAAGTTGCTAAACTGAAGCCAAACTCCGATGTTGTTCTCTCATGCTTAAAATCAACAAATCTATCAGAAAGAGCAACACATTAAAGACTTAGAGTTAGATTAGAGCCTATTGAAAAAGCAATTTTCAGTTCTGCACTGTTAAGTCAGTCCATTCATGGGTAAATACCTGCTCTAGCTATACAGTAGATTGTTGCAGCCCTCATGTACTGTATAGGCCCTCCATCCTCTCTGTGGTTACTTCCAGGTCTATTAACAGTAAATCCCTTTGGGTGGAGCTGTCCTCTGCCGAGGCAACCCGGGGCTGGTACAGATAGGCTCACCATTGTTACCACTCACACTCGGCACAACACATAACATAGATAACAAAGCGCTTACTTTAGTGCTGACAGACAGCGGGCTAATTCACTGAATCTGCTCTAGTTCCCCACCAAGAGGCAACATGTAATATAAAGATGCTCCGACTGAACAGAGGCAAATGGAAATGTGCAGGGACTAATGATGGGATATTATTATATTATATTATATTAAGAGTGTCTATGCTAAGATTCTTTTCATTATCTCAGTGACAACCAACCTGTAGCAGACATGTTAGTCGCTTCTGTCGTATGTTATATATTTTAGGAACAACTTTGTTGGTCTAACGCGCGCTCCTTTATCCACACATACACACACACAGTCACAGTCCTGGGTTTGAATCCACCAGCCAGCTGGCTTTTTATGTGCAGTTTGTGTATTCTCCCCGTGTCTGTTTGAGCTCTCTCTGGGTTTCGGCCTCCTCCCACATGCCAAATATGGAAGTGTTCAATATATTTTGCTTCCAAAGAGCCAGAATTTCTTGTAACTTTTTGAACCAGTACTGAGTAACACTTCTTTAAGCTTTCTGAAAGTCTTTCAAATGTTTTCTTTGGACATTAACTGCTTTGCCACTCATTTTCAGTGCAATCTTTGTACTCAACCATTACTGGAGAATGGAAAAAATAAATTTTTAAGCCACTTAACACTGACCTATGAACCATCCAAGCATAAAAAAGACACAGGAAACCCCCCCAGCAAAGGGCCTGGATGTTAGAGACACAGGATCTGAGAGAAGCATCTGTCTTAATTTCTCAATTGGATAAATGGAAGAAACTGGATGGAAAATACTGTCAGAAATATTTCCTTTGTACACACACAGGAGAACAGAATTTTCAGCCATGCTATAGAAAGACATAATCGACACTCTGTTGTAAAGTTTACACAGAAAGAAATGGAATTTTTCAGTGGTGTTCGAATTCATGTAAATGGTGTTTTGAAAGTGTACAAGATGGATTGCCCACAAAACATCCTGTTGCTAGCAGTGGATGCACTAGACAGTTAGCAGCTCTGTGTCCACCAGAGATGGTAATCCGATTACTTTTT